CTGCCTATGTTGTTTTATATTTTTCCTGTAGGTCTTTCTTTCAAGAAGTATCTTCTGTTCTTCTAGCCACTCCAGGTTGGTCTGCTTGTCCTTTCAAGTAGGAATTTCCCATCTCTGGAGATCTGGATGTGGTTCAGGCTTCAGATGTTTTATTTTTATGAATAAGTCAGATCATGAACAAAACCCTTGGTGGCGGTGGTCTCTTTTGCCTACAATCGCTGCCTTCCATCCCTGTAGCACTGACAGTGACCCCTGCCCTGTCTTCCCAGGTAATGGTCCCTCGGGCATCTGCTTGTCCTACCTGCTCTCAGGCTACACGCCCTATGTGAAGCCAGGTGCCGTCCACCCACACCCCCTGTTGCAGAGGAAGCTCAGTGAAACACCAGAGGTTTCCATCCTGGACCAGGTGGGTCACCCGCTTAGGAGAATATCCCAGCTTCCCAGGAAGAGGGGATGAGGCAATGAGGAGACTGAGTTTACAGGAAGTGAGGCCACAGAATCAGCCACAGAAAGTATGAAAGAGAAAGCGGGGTCCTCTTTTGATACCTTAGCCATGCTTCTGGGGTCCCCTCTGTCCGAGTGGAAATCCTCACTCTTCTACTTGTTGGCTGTGTGACCACGAGCAAGTTACTTACCCTCTCTGTTTTCCTCAAGTATATGTGGAGAGAAAGAGCAGCCCTTTCCTTGCTGAAGTGATGGGGAGCACTTATGGGGACGTTCAGCCTTGTCTGGAGACAGTTTTGGTTGTCCCATCTCTACTGGATATAGAATAGAGGCAGGGATGCTGTTCAACATCCTACAGTGCCCCCATCCACCCCCAAAGTGTGCCCAGTGGAGAAACCCTGCCCTAGAGATTTCAGTTCCATAAAGGGCCTGGAAACCCACCCTCCATGCCCCTTACATTCCAGGAGATCACTCCCCGGCCACCACCCACTTCAGGCAGGAGTCCAGCCTCTTTGTCCCCTCCCACCCCTAAGCAGGCTGGTGAGGGAACTGGACGGGCATGTAATCTGGAGTGGTTCACTGGCTCCTTAGATAACATGCTCAGAAAATGTCTCTCATTCTGTGGGTCTGGGGCACGATGGTCAATGAATTCATTCAACAGGTAAAACAACCGCTGCAGGACTTTGCAGGGTCTTTAATGTGCAGCCAGGAGGCACAGCCCAGCTTCTCGGGGTCCTAACATCAGAAGGGGGATGCAGGACAGGCAGGTCTTCAGTCTCGTCTATCTTATTCCTGTTGGGCCCATGGTCAGGGGTCCTTGGGCTCCCCCGGACTCCAAAGTGAGTGCTCACACACACCCTCTCACTTGGCTCCATCTGACCTCCGCTCCCCATAATTCAGGACCTAGATTACCTGTCAGAAGGCCTGGAAGGCCGCAGCCAGAGCCCGGTGGCCCTGCTGTTTGACACCCTCCTGCGACCAGACACAGACATTGGGGGAGACGTGGAGTCTGTCCTCACCTGGAAACATCAGAAGGAGAGAATCATCCCCCATATGGTCCTGGGCCGGAACCTGCCCGGAGGCGCATGGCATGTGAGTGGGGAGTAAGTGGGGTTCAGCCACCTCTGTCCAAGCCCCTCCCTTTCCTCCTCACCTCCCTCAGCCCCAGGTAAGGCCTTCCCTGCCTTCACCAACCACCCCCCCCCCAACTCTTCCCCAACCCAGTGGCCAGCAGAGGTCTGGAACAAAAGCTGTCTCTTTCTCACAGTCCATTGACGGCTCCATGGTGACCCTGAGCCAGGGCCAGTGGATGGGGCTCCCAGACCTGCAGGTCAAGGAATGGATGCGGCAAAAGCGAAGGTAAGACCCCCCCACACACACACCTGGAGCCCAAGTGTACCTTCCTCATCCTCCAAGAGAAGTGGAGGCCCAGGCAGACACACACTGCCACACGACCCCCCCTGCCCCCGCCCTGGCCTCTCTGTAGCATCCTAGCCTCTAAGGGGCCCTCAGAGAGGTCGACAGCCAACTACTTACCCACTATGCCCCATCCGGGTTCCAGGGTCCACGTTCTTTGTACTAAAAACCAAACCCAGCCCACTGCCACTGGGTTGATTCTGACTCGGGGACCCTAGGTATCTATGTGAATGTGTTGAATCCGTCGAGGCAAGGATAACAGTGGCAGTAGCTACCTGCCAGAGGCTGACTCAAGCGCCTCATTAGTGTCAGCTCCCCCAACTCCCTCATGACTTGTGATATAGGAGGGAACGGGGGCACAGAACATCAGACATGCTGCTAACACGCTGCGTATCCAGGGTTTGAGCCCAGGACAATGGGATCTAGAGATGCCTTGGTGGTACCACGTGTTAAGCATTGGGTCGCTACCTGCAGACTTGGCATTTGAAGCCAGCAGCTGGTTAGGGGAGAAAGACGAGGCTGTCCACTCCTGTAAAGATTGACAGCTTTGGAAACCGTACGGCGCAGTTCTCCGGTCAGACTCAGCTCAATAGCTGGTTTGGTTATTAACTGGGGTCCGTAGTCCATGCAGCCTGCCCTCCACTGTCTTTCCTGAGGTTGGGGTCTTAGAGATCCATTTTATAGAAGAGGACACTGGGGGCTTCAGAGCTTCCATGTCTGGCCCATCGTGACAGCCAGCGGGGGGGATTATTGCTGCTTGGCCCCAAGGCTGACACCATCTACGCCTCTCCCCCCATCCTTCCCTTAGAGGTCTCCGGAACAGCCGGGCCACAGCCGGGGCCATTGCCCACTACTACAAGGACTACGTGACCAAGAAGGGTCTGGACCCTAATTTTGTGTCAGGCACTGTGGTCACAGCTGTGGAGTGGGCCACACCCCAACCCATCATCTCTGGCGCCCGGGACCCCACCCCCCTCTTCCACGTGCATGGCTTCCTGACCACCCATGACCAGAGCCCACAGCCCTTCAGCCTTTGCACCCGAAACGTGGTCCTAGCCACGGGCACGTCAGACAGCCCGGCCCGCCTGGACATCCCTGGAGAGACCCTGTCCTATGTCCACCATGAGTTGTCAGCTCTGGAGAGAGCCATGAAGACTGGTGTGGTCACCGCTGCCTCGGACCCTGTCCTCATTGTGGGCGCGGGGCTGTCAGCAGCTGATGCCGTCCTCTACGCCCGGCACTACAACGTGTCGGTGATTCACGCCTTCCGACGGCCTGTGGACGACCCCGGCCTGGTGTTCAATCAGCTGCCCAAGATGCTGTACCCCGAGTACCACAAAGTCCACCAAATGATGCGTGAGCAGTCCATCCTGTCCCCCAGCTCCTATGAGGGCTACCTCAGTCTCCCTGAGCACCAGCTGCAGCTCTTCAAGGAGGATCACCAAGCAGTCTTCCGAGACCCACAGGGTGGCCAGAAGGTCTTTGGGGTCTCCCTGGTCCTGGTCCTCATCGGATCCTACCCCAATCTCTCCTTCCTCCCTGGGGGTGGTTCAGACCTCACTGTGGACCCTGACCAACCGCTGAGTGCCAAGAGGAACCCTATTGATGTGGACCCCTTCACCTACCAGAGTGCCCGCCAGGAGGGCCTGTATGCCATGGGACCACTAGCCGGGGACAACTTTGTGCGCTTCGTGCAGGGCGGCGCGCTAGCTGTGGCCAGCTCCCTGCTGAGGAAGGAGCTCAGGAAGCCGCCCTAGCACTGGACTCTCGTTATCAGACCCTGAGGGGAACGAGAGGTCTCCATAGCCCTTCAAAGATGCCTCAGTGACAAGGCCACTCCTGGCAGGAGATGGGAGAGGGCAGGAGCCCACACAGTGGCTTCTGGGGAAAAGGAGAGGGGGGCTTGTGCCCCCAACTCAGACCAAGGGCAAGGAGCCAATAGTGGCCACAGGCCCAGTTCAGGTCTACACAGCGATCTGGGGAAGATACCAGTGGGAACTGGGACCACCAGGGTGCACACACAGCAGAGGGCTCCAGGCCTGCCCAAAGCAGGTCTCAAATAAAGCCAGTGTCTGCCCTCACCTGTGTCTAAGGACTCTCTGTGGGGAACAGGAGGCAGCGGGGTGTGCATGGATTGGGGTAGGGAGAAAAAGGTGAAGCCCTTAATTGGAGGCAACTATTGGGTGGGGGCAGCTGTGTTAGAGGAGGTGATGATGGGTGCTAGGGAAGCCCCCCATTCCTGCCCCAGCCACACTGTCCTCCTCTGTCCCCACCCTTATCCTGTCTGAGACCACCACAGGATGTTTGCATAGGCAGTTTCTCATGGCTGTAACTCCTCTTCCTCAGGCCCCTCAGCACAAGGCTTACTGCTTCCCATCTGAAACCTATTCAGATCGCAGCCCACTTCGCACCTCTTGAGAACATCCTGGGTTTTTCCTCATTTTTCATTTGCTGACCCAAGGCAAGGGCCCTGTATGTCCCTCTAGGGTCCTAGTGCCTAGCACAGGGCTGGCTGGCGCTCCTGAAGGAATTCTTTGGGTGGACAAGTGGGAGGGAAGGAAGGGTCTTTGTTGTCTGTGGGTCTGTGTCATGGGAGCGGGAGAGCCAGGGACATTCACGCCCACAGGGGGATGGGGGGAAGTTCCTGGGGGAGCCTGAAGAACGTGGGTGCTGAACAAGGAGCTGGTGCCGGCAGAGGGCGCTGCAGGCTCGTGGGACCCTGAGCTCCGGCCCCTGAGGTGGTGCCGCGGGGGGAGGGGGACTCCGGGGAAGGGGAAATGGGGGCAGCCCCCAGGCCCTCCCCCACAGGCAGAACCCCCTCCCTCCTCCGCGGCCGCCCCCTTCTTGGCTGGCTGGGGTCCAGCACCCGGTCCGGGGCCCCC